CTGGGTAGTTAAGTGGGGTCATAACTACTCCAACTATAATTATAGCCCGTAGTAGGGGACATAGAACCACTGAACCCTAAACCCTTAAAACCACTTATAACTACCCAAGCTCTCGCCCTAAACCCTAAACCCTAAACCCTAAACCCTGAACCCTAAACCCTAAACCCTGAACCGTACATCTTGGATCTTGAGAACCCTTTTGTTCCAACAGCTGTCTCCCAGATCTTTTGTTTCATATCTACTACTTGGGTAGTTCTCTAAATTAGGGTCGGCGTCAAGATGTTGAAACTAAGGTAAGCCTTCTTACGTGCGACAATCTTTCGCTCGAAGGACGGGTCAGCCTCAAAGTGGGCTTGCAATTCTGCAAACACAAAAACAAGTTCCACACCTGCCGGCACGAGCAACTACAGCACACGAAGCCGAAGTCATGATTCAAAGCTTTAGGCTTTAGGTGTAGGCCAATAGAGGTTAACGGACGCAGGTCTGCTTAAAGCAACACCGACGAATTTAGAAGAAACTCGACAAACCTTAAAGAAGAAAACGATCAAATTCGGCGACAAACTGCACAGGGCAGTTTGAAGAACCCTAAACACATCTTCATGCGACGCATAGAAATCCCCGCAACTCCTGATAGGCTCCGAACCCTCCGAAGCCCTATAACTATAAAAATCGCAGAAGGATTGAAGCTACTTGCAGTTCCTTCCCAATGGTCCTGCATAACTACAGCCCGCATCCAATATCACTTATTCTGATCATGAAAGCCCTCCTGTACATCCACGCCCCTAAAACCCTAAAGCATGAACTCGTAAATGAAGGCAACCTTAATGACACCTACAAACCCTAAACCCTAAACCCGAAACCCTAAATACAACGGTTGATGGACAAAATCCTGCATGACCTTATATACCTAAAGTATGGGATTTATGGTACTATACTATATTTGGGGCATGCAGGATTTTGTCCATCAACAGTATGACACCGACAAACAAACACCTCTGGGCCGGAGCACTGCATGCCACCATCCGTCAGCATCATTAGGAGGGCTCCACCTCGGCCATGTCTGGAGTTGCTTGCCCAATTCTTTGGGGTTTAGGGTTTGGGGTTTAGGGTCTAGGGTTTAGGGTTTAGGGTTTAGGGTTTAGGGTTTAGGGTTTAGGGCCTCGACCATTCGGAGTCGTTTGCGTAGGGGTCTGCTGTTTTGTGATAGCTGCACTCACTCTAATACAGGGCCTATGTTTGAGGGAATAGTTCTTGCAATATTTAAAGCCACTATAATCGATGCAGTTTATGGTTGGGGTTCATGAGGGGCGCAAGATCCTCGAGGGAAACCCTGAACCCTAAACCCGGGTGGTTTAAGGAGAGGAGGATTCGAGGGATCCTTGGGGAAGCTTTGAGAGAATGGGGGAGTTCTAGGTTATGTACCTGCCATGGACACCCATCCCTTAAGGATCCCATAGGGAAGTTCATGCGGAGTTATAAATTGAGTTATAAGTCCCCTAATGTAGGTTATGACTATCGTTACCCTACTTGTAACCCTACTTATAACTACCCATGAACCTTCAAGTGGGGTTTAGGGTGCAGGATCTAAGTTTAGGGTTTGGGACACCCATCCATGAACTGCATCCGAGCGTCTATGCGCCGGCACCACGTTCAGCGTCGTGTCCTCTGTGTTAAAGCCGACCTGCGACAGCGTCGATTTAAATTTTGTATGGAACAATATAGCGGCCTTAACAATTAGAATAGGGTTTTGGGGGGTCGAGGGCGATTTGGAGGTGGAAGCACCAGCACTGGTCGTGGTCGTCAGGTAGAAGACGAGGAGGAAGAGGTGGAAACTCAGCCGAAGTGTGGCCAGTGACCGTCTCTCTCGGTTTCCATCCTCTTGTTGCAGCCTTCCTGTCCGCTATTTAGGCAAGCTATAATGCAGAAGTAGGTCCTCTCCTGGCCCGCACTGCCAGCCACCTCAACCAAAATTAGCAGCAGTACATTCTCAGAATCTCTGTTGGTGCTGCAAGCTCCGCCGCAGCTGCCATGGAAGCCACGCAGCCTCCAATGTTCAGGTTGTGTAAGGCTGGGATGTAGATGAAGAGGCTTTAGCAGGGGGGGTCCTAGTAAGGGGTCTAGCAAAAGTTTAACTGGACATTGTCATGTTTGGGGCATAGGCACTTCCATGGTTGCTGATCTCGAAACACCGCAAAAATTCAACTCGTGGGCTTTCGTCTGTATGCCCTGCAGAACTAGGGTTTAGAGCCGAGGGTTTAGATATGTTAGGCCCTTGATGGTAGCCCTATCCCTAGTATTACCGTATGGGGGCAGTATCCAGGACAGGACTTAGACCCAAACCCTCGACAGCCTAAACCCCCTAGTGACGAACCCTAAGCAATTCCGATGGTAACCTTTCAGGTTTCCATATTGCCCCAAAGCGCTGCCGAAGGCTGGCAACTCTAAGGCTGCATGCACCCACATAGCTCTTACATAGGCCTTAAAGGGGTCTAGGGTTTAGGGTTTAAGGTTTAAGGTTTAGGGCTTATAGTTCCCTCTTAGGCACTAAGCACCCTTGAGCCCTCACCCCTGATCCGTTTTTGACGTGTTCATCCTTGCTTCCACGGAATCACCAGCGACCTGGTCAGCCGAGAGTCTAAGCAAGAACCTTCCCTTCACCCTAAACCCTAAACCCTAAACCCTAAACCCTAAACCCTAAACCCTAAACCCTAAACCCTCAGGAGAAGGTTTTGGTTTTTTAGGGTTTAGGCCCTTGCAGGTTCCCCATAAGCCCCGTGTAGAACCCTTGCAAGGTCTTCAAAAAGACCTTTTGGGTTTAGGGTTTAGGGTTTAGGGTTTAGGGTTTAGGGTTTAGGGTTTAGGGACTTTCTAGACCGCTTAGGCAATCTGTTTTAAAACCGTTCACAAACTTGACAAGATCTTCGTAAGACCACCACGCCACTCTTCTAAATCCACGCAAATCCTGAGAGAATCCCGACAGGCACGCCGTGAACTCGTGTAGAAACCCTTATTCTCAGCTCCTGAGACCCTAAGACCCTAAACCCTAAGACCCTAAACCCTAAACCCTAAACCCCGAACCCCAACAATTCCGGAGACCCCAACTGCCCTAAGCCATCCCTAAACCCCAATCTAAACCGCCTAAACCCTTAAAGCCCTAAACCCTAAGACCCGAGACCCCTAAAATCCGAGGCACCTAAACCCTAAACCCGAAACACTAAACCCCAAATCCTAAACCCTAAACACCTAAACCCTAAACCCCAAACCCTAAACCTTTAAGTAGCGCTCTTGACGCCCTCAGCGCCTGTGAGGAAATCGTTGCGCCTGCAAGCAGCGAGCAGAGATTGGGTTTAGGGTTTAGGGGTTTAGGGTTTAGGGGCTTTAGGGTTTAGAGGTTTAGGGTTTAGGGGTTTAGGGTTTAGGGGTTTAGGGGTTTAGGGTTTAGGGGTTTGGTTTGGGGTTTATAGGGGTTTAGGGTTTTAGGGGGCTTAGGGTTTAGGGGTTTAGGGGTTTGGGGGTTTGGGGGGCTTAGGGTTTAGGGATGGCTTAGGGCGTTTGGGGTTTTCCGGATTTTTGGGACTTTTGGGGTTCGGGGTTTAGAGGTTAAGGTCGCAGGTTAGGGTTTGTGCTTATAGGGGTTCAGCTTTAGGATTTAGGCTTCATGGTGTAGGGTAAAAGATCCATAGATGGAGCTCCTGGCGCAAGTCATTTTTCAGGATCTGAGAGTTCGGACTGGTCCCGGGCGGGCATTCTCGGTGGTCTGGTAGAAAGCCAGTGGGAACGCCGTCTCTGCAGTGAGGCAGCTGTAGCGCCAGAGCTTGTCCTGGTCTCGCAGCTCGGGTAGTGCCAGAAGGAAGGTCCAGTGTCGGAGATGCCCATGCGGTGGTGGGCGAGAAACCGCTCTATCTTCAGGGGACCGGCCCTCTCTGTGGCCACTTGGTCCAGTCTCGCTTCCTTTGGGCTCTGCCTGTGGCACCTCCGCCTCCATTCCGGCTGACTCCACAGGCACGACCCCAGACGCTCGAGAACCCTCGCTGAAGCCTTTTGGCCTTTGGGATTCTTGCTAACCTCCGGCCGCAGTGAGTGCATAGGGCTTAGAGTTTCAGGCTTACAGGTTCAGGAAAATAGGGTTTAGGTTTAGGGTTGGGGGTTTACGGTTTATAAGGTTGATCCTAAGTTCCGGGGTTGCAGGTTTCAGGTTCAGCTTCGGGGTGTAGCGTCTAAAAGTTGAGCGGTTACGGCTTCTCTTCCACATGCCTCCTTGGGTTCGTTCCTTGGTGCTTCGTACTTGTTGCTGGTAAGGTTTAGTAGCCGCTCTCTTGACCAACAAAGCTCGATCTATATGTACTTGTAATGTATAACTGTGCGTAAGTATGTGTTTACTTGCCTACATACAGACACGCGCACACACACACACCCCAACAGTGCACACATCCATCCATACATACATACATACATACATACATACATACATACATACATACATACGTACAGACATACATACATACATACATACATACATACATACATACATCCGTTGATTCCGGTGCCGCGGAGCGGGCACCTTACACGTAGTCGAACAGCGCAGGCCGCCTATTGTGAAGTGGCGGGTATG